ATGAAACAGTCAGTCAGGATAGTTTTGCAGCAATTAAATGCACTAGATTTTTTATTCAAGGAACATCTTATTGTGATATTTTCACTAGACCTGTCACAAAACCGAAACACGTTTTGTACTATTCCATCACAACAAACTTTTTTAGTATTTTCAACAAACTCAGTCGATCAAATCACATATGATTCCATATTTATAAAAATTATGGTTTTTCACACATTTCAACTGATATGTAATCACTAATATCTTCGATTGACTATTTGTTAAAAAAAAAATGGTTTACTTCTTAGGTCATCGTTACTGCAAATTCATCGGCGGTTATGAGTGAGTTTAAATTAAAAACTTTGATTAAATTCTAGTCCAGCATTTCCTAAATGCTTCAAAACGGCAGCGGCGGTGTTTTGTGATTCATTGAGAGCATTTGACTGCACGTGATACTGCTGCACAAATTTGAAGTTTATTGGTTTAGAGATGCGGTGCTTTCCTGGCACAGATCGTACATATCCCTAAGTCGCCAAATTATGTCGTTGAACAGAATTAAGTTCAGAGAACTAGTAGTTCAGTGTGGTATGCCACAAGGGTCAGTTTTGGACCCAATACTTTTTTATATATAGTAACGACTTGACTCACATTGATATCGGTGGTGAAATTACTATTTTTGCAGATGATACATCAATTTTGTGGCACAACAAAAGCTCATTTGAACTTAACAAGCTAATAAGCAGGAATGTAAAAAAATAAAGATTGGTGCGATTCAAATCTAGCTTTCTATATTTGCAAACAAAATTTCATTTAATTCAAGGGCGACTCTGAATATATTTTTTTAGCAATGAATCAATATCCAATTCTACGAACAATAAAAAACAATTAGCTTCAGGCTGTTATGCCGATCGGGTTGTCTGTAATAAGTTGAATATTGTTATAGCAAGAAATGTATATCAGACACTTATTGAGTCACATATCGGTTATGAAGTCTGCTTCCATGGCGCTTACGCACAGTATTTATTCAAAAGGAAATATTCTCTTCGAAAAAGGGCAATTAGATATAGTACATGTCGCGGCTGATGACGAGCGATCGCGGAAGTATAGACTCTCAAATAAATTACTACTGGATTACGGTAAGCTCCTTGTTGGCCAGTGTCATACCTATAATTAGTTTTAATTAGGGTAGCAAATGGAACATGACTTCTGTGTAATTTCTTTCCATATTTTATTTACTATTGTAGGTAGTAGTACAGTTCATTAAAATGTTATATAATGATAAACATCCAAAAATAAACTTCAATCAGTCGCTATCTGAATACAAATTTTCTTCATCTTCACTGCTGCTGCTTGTGCTGCTATCGTCATTTGAATTTATAATCACTGGATTTGCCTCCGTTTGAATGTCTGTGAATGTTTCATTTCCCCAATATTTCCGCTCTATATCTACTATATGTCGACAACACTTTTGCCATTCCTCGGAAGTGATTTGATCAAACTCGTGCTCCGCCAGTTTCCTCATGTCTTCCAACTTGGAAGTTAAATTCTTTTGGGACACGTTTTTTTTATCAGTAGCCCAAATGAGTTCAATGGAATTCAAATCCGGAGGGTAGAGTGGAAGACGAAAAACGTTATGTCCATTTTCAAGCAGAACCTCATCAAATTTATATCTAATATGATGCTTTTTATTTACATTGATCAACTCATATAATTCGGGTTTGAGCATGTTAGAGATGAACATAATGCTTTTTTCGTGCAGCCACTTCTCCATGTCAGCCTTCCTAGAATTTGTATTGGGGGCTGGATTAATTTGAATATTATGGTATAAGACATTATCGGTGACGACTACCGAATTTACAGGTAGATTGGTGATTTTCGGAATTGATTTATGAATGATAATCCCCTGATGTTGTGCCTGATTTAAATATAAACCGACAATTAGGTATAAAGCCCATGTCACCTCCTGCATGCATGGTCCCTTCTCAAATTTTTTAATTATAACTTTGGTTGATTCATCCGTCCAGTTCTTGGACGATGTATGTCCACTATGAAGGTATGTTTCATCAAGAAACGCAATTGGTCGCTGTTGGCTAGGATTTTTTTTTGTACATACTTGATCCTCAATGCTCTAATGTCCATTTTCGATCCTCAATGCTCTAATGTCCATTTTCTCTATTAATTTTTTTTATTATTTTATTAAGTTTTACTTTT